GCTGAGGCTGAGGCTGAGGCAGGCTGAGGCTGAGGCTGAGGCTGATTCAGGCTGAGGCTGAGGCAGGCTGAGGCTGAGGCCGAGGCTGAAGGCAGACTGAGGCTGAGGCTGAAGCAGGCTAAGGCTGAGGCTGAGGCAGGCTGAGGCTGAGGCTGAGGCAGGCTGAGGCTGAGGCATGCTGCGGCTGCGACTGCCATTGCCACTGCGACTGTCATCGCGAATGCGACTGCGACTGCGAGAACAGCAGAATTCTACAACTGGATTCTCATCTGGATCTTAAAGGGAGTGCTTCCAGATATGCTCCTACACATCGCTGTTAGGTTGCCTTGCCGGGATAATTGTTTGCAAAGGATAACAAGTGTTTACGTCCGCGGAGGTGCATTTGTAGACTAAGTCGCAATGGATTCTGCACGCATGATCCGGAAATTTTATGTGTTGCAAGGGATAGCAAGGGTTTACGTCCGCGGAGGTGCATTTCTAGTGTACATCGCAGTGGATTCCGCACGCATGATCAGGAAATAGTGTTTGTTGCAAGGGATGGCGCCGGTTTACATACCGGTGCGTATGTACCCGTATGTACCCGCATGTACCCGGTTGTACAGGATTCAGGGTTTAATAATTATAGGGTTAAGAATTAAGGGTTACCGCTCTGAGAACGTTCCGGAACGCTCTGAGAAGGCTGCGGCGCCGCATCTCAGAGGATCTCGAGCTTCAGGAGGGGAAAAAATACACAGTCACAGTTCATTTTGATTCCCAGGAAATATGGGAAAATATGGGAAGTGGGGGGAAGACAGAAACCCAGAAAATATTGGGAAATATGGGGAATAGTTTTATTTGTGTGTATTAATTTGTGTGTCCCAGTTCTCCTTCATATTTATCCTCACGCGATTTTATCCTCGTCCTGCCTTCGTCTCAGGCGCACTGACAAGGGTTTGGGTGCTGCAGGATCTTGCAGGAGTCTGCAGGACCCTGCAGAGCCTGTTTGGCTCGGGTCTGGATTGACCCGGGTCAGCAGATCCCTGATCCACCGGGCGGAGATCCAGGACGATCTGGCGTCCCGCTTCCCGAGACTCGAACGAGGGCCGCAGCATGCTGGCGAAGGCCTCCACGGTTATGATTTTCCAACCTACTTTAGCCTTGCTCACCAGAGAGAATTTCGAGCACAAAAAAACACCGAATCTGGAGGATTTGCACGTGTCGGGCCCTGAGAGACTCGTCCGACATTGTTTCGACATTCTTTCGACATTGTTCCAGGTGCTCGAAATCATTTCTGGGATGTGGTCCTTCAGAACGATGGGAACAACATAACTCCACGGCCTGGGCTTGCTCCCCCGACCAGCTCTGGCGCGCAGCTCGCGAGCGCGCCCTCGAGGCGGCCCTCGGGGGCCGCCGGAAGACCGTCCGGTCCGGGCGCTGCCGTGTCGTCACGCCAGGCGTGTTCGCCTCGTGTCGGGCCCTGGGGCCAGCACAGAGCGGTGCGGTTCGAAAACTGCGGCAGGAGGATGGGGTCTAGGGTTAAGTCGGGCGTGTCCCTGTGCAGGAGGAGAACTCAAAAAAAAGTCAACAAAATAGTCTGGGGACGGTTTTTCGATTGGTTCTGATTTTTGTTGTCTGCATTCTTGGAGTGCTCTTGATTTTTCGTCCCAGAGTCGCCTGTAGGGGGACATGCCCGACCCAAGTCTAGGGCTCTGGTCCTGCTTTCTCTCGCCAAGTTGGCATGTTTGTCCGCAGCGCCGGATCTCAGGTGTCTCCGTCGTTTCGGGGCGCTCTGCGCGGGGCCTCGGAGGGGCGTCCGGGTGGATCCGCCTCGAGTCTCTGGGCCGACCGCGCCGCGGGAGAAGTGAGATGTCGTCGCTGCGGCGGAGGAAGAGGATGAATGACTGAAGTAGGGGGCCACATGCGAACCCTACCCCTACCCCCACGATTTTGAGGGGGAGGGTGGGGTTCACTTCGCTCGAGAGCTCCCGAGCGAAGTGAACCCCACCCTCCCCCTCAAAAATCGTGGGGGGTAGGGGTAGGGTTCGCATGTGGCCCCCTATGAAGGAATGAACGAAAGGCCCCGAAGAAGAGGGGGTGCGCAGCACCAAATTCTTCACGCTTCGCGTATCCCCACCAGCCCATCTCAAAACAGCAACTCTTGCGAAGCATGCCGACAGTCGTGTTTTTCAGGCGTGTTGCCGCCTGCTCCCGCATATCTCTGGGGCTCTCGTCCTGGTGTGAGTCTTTCGGGCCCTTCTTCCTGGTGTGAGTCGTTCGGGCTCTTCGTCGTGGTTTGAGTCGTTCGGGCTCTTCGTCCTGGCGTGAGTCGTTCGGGCTTCTCGTGGTGTGAGTTGTTCGGGCCCTTCGTCCTGGTGTGAGTCGTTCGGGCTCCTCCTCCTGGTGTGAGTCGTTCGGGCTCCTCGTGGTGTGAGTCGTTCGGGGCCCTCGTCCTGGTGTGAGTCGTTCGGGCTCCTCGTGGGGCCACTTGGGGGCCTCTTGGAGCCTCTTGGGGCCTCTTGGGGCCTCTTGGGGGGCCTCTGGGGAGCCTCTTGGGGGCCTCTTGGGGCCTCTTGAGGCCTCTTGGGAGCCTCTTGGGGGCCTCTTGGAGGCCTCTTGGGGCCGCTTGGGGGCCTCTGGGGGGCCTCTTGGAGGCCTCTTGGGGGGCCTCTTGGGAGCCTCCTGGGAGGCTCTTGGGGCCATCTTGGGGCCTCTTGCGACCCCCTCAGAAGCGCAAATGAGAGCTGCGCCCTGAAAAGGACAAAATGAGCCCAAAACCTTCGTAAAATCAATGATTTTGCTATGAAGGAAGATGAGCACGGCCCCCTCAGGACGCCAAAATGGGGCCAAAACCGTAGTAAAATCAATGGTTTGGGCTTCAAAGACGAGCAGAGGGGCCAAACTCCCTCCCCCCGTCGGGGCCAGAATCCTCGTGAGGGTCGTCGTTTTTTGGGCCTCCCAGGAGTCGAAAAAGACCCCCCTGACTACGCTCGGTCCGCCCTCTCCAGGTCCAGGGGGAGGGGGTAGGGGGAGGGGTAAACCCCTCCCCGATGGGGAAGAAGGGGGGTTGAGGACAGAGCGGGCTCTCTAAACCACTCACGCCCAAAGGGCTGGTGGGATTAGTGCCAACACGCACCTCAGGCGCACTGCAGGCGCACTGCGCCATGACGCACCGCCTCAGTTCGGGCCGCGAACAAGTGGGAGAGCAGGCACAATGAGGGACCGTCCGCTCTCCAAAGGGCAGTATACAACCCAGGCTGCTGCCTGTGCTTGGCTTGTGCCAGGCCCAGGGCACAGCCACGGCCGCAGCAAGCCAACGAATCCAGGCACCACACCATCCTGAGCGGGAAACAGAGGGCTCGAACCTCTGCCCGGCCAAGTTGCCTCCTTGGGCCTGACCCGGCACGCCGGAAGCTGGGACCCCGAATCGGCGGCGGAAAAGAGGGGGGTGATGACTAGGGGGGGGTGGATATCATGGCGCGGGCCATGATATTTCCCCAGATTTCATGGCGTCTCTTCTTGTTTCATTACGTCCCTGGGCCCCCCCGCTGGGCCGCGCACATGCCGCCGGTCATGATTTGCACCCCCCCCTCTTGGACACCCCCCTCTTGGCCGCTCCCGACCGAAAGAGACAGAGCCGGCAGCCCTCAGCCTGCTCTGCCATGAAGCCCGCGGCGATGAGCGCTCCGGCCAAGGTGGTCGAACGCCGTGTGCCGCGGGCCTCGCCTCCGTAGCAACATCGGCGGTGCACCTCGGAGATCAACGAGCATGGACCCCGTACTTCAGCGAGCGAAGAACGGTATAAAATCAACTTTTTCGCTGTCGGGGGCGCCTGAGCTGGGCGGCTGGAAGGTTTATACCCCTACGGTGCCACCGTAAGGGTATAAACTTTCCAGCCGCCCTGGGACAGGCGCCCCCGACAGCGAACAAGTTTATTTTTGTTACCGTTCTTCGCCCCTTAAGTATTGAGGTGCTGCTGGGACCAGGCGAGCCTCCCCAGCAGCATCTTGGCGCCTCACGCTGCCATTCCATCACCCCCGAGGAGGGCGAGAGGAGCGGGCAAAGGTGGCGGACGGACCACTGCCGCCGACACCAACCTGGAGGTGCCACAGGGAAGAGGCGAAGGGCCCAACCACCGGGTACCAGGGCTCAACCCCGGCTACGTAGGACCCGGGAGGCGTTGGAAGCGGGCGGGGGGGCGGGAAGGCCGTTCTCCGGCTGAGGGTGCGCACGTCGTCCTTCCTCGGGCTCTTTGGCCCTGGGGCCGTGCCGCCTTCACTTTGGCAGGGGTCCGAATGGGAGGGGGGCGGAGGGTCCTGCCGGCTCACGCCATGACAGCGATCGCCCCCAGGAGCAAGGGAACAAAAAGTGGCATGAATATCAAAACTCGGAGGTCTGCGCGGATTTCTCGGATCGGCGCCAGGGGAGGCCCCGGAGGCGCCGCCGGGGGGCCCCAGCGCCGATCCGAGAAGTCCGCGCGGACATCCGAGTTTTTATGTTTATGTCACTTGTTGTTCCCCTAAGGAGGGGAAGGGGGTAAGGGAGGGGACATGCCTCAGCCCGCATGGGATCCTCGGCAGCTCACCTCATTCGGGAGGTGCCACACGGCGCCCAGGCTACACCGCTTGGCCGCGGTGGCAGGGAGTTTCAAGAATGCCCTGGCCTGACGGCAGCGAAGGAAGAGGAGGAGGAGGAGTAGCAGCAGGAGGAGGAGGAATAGTGGTAGGATGAGCACGTTGGAGGGGGAAGAAGGGGGGAGGCGGGGAGAAACATGCAGGAGGAGTAGAGAAAGGGGGAGGGTAGGGGGGAGGAGGAGCAGGATGTGGCTCCATCCCCACCTCCAGTCCCTCTTCTGCCCCCCCCCCCATCCCATCTCTCTCCTCCCTAATCTCCTGGACCGCCTCGTTGCTCCTCCCCTTCCCTTTCTCCCTCCTCCCTCTGTCCCCTTCCCTCTGTCCCCTCCGTTCTTTCCACCCCGCCATTCCCTCTCCTTCGATGCGCCTCTCCGCCCATGCAGATCCACAGCCGTTTCGTACTCAGGCCGGGCCGGTCGACCGCGCAGCCGCGCGGAGTCCCGTACATCGCGGGCGGCTCGCCACCTCTTCGGGGGTGGCGGCTCATTCTTCCCCCCCTCCCGCCTCGCTCCCTGTTCCTCCCACCCCTCCCTCCTCGCAGCTGCCATCTTCCTCGTCCTCCTCCTCCTCGTCCTCCTCCTCCTCCGTCCTCCTCCCTCCCTCGCCCCCCCTCATCTCGTCCTCCTCTTGTTCCTCCTCCCCCTATCCTGTCCATCCTCCCTTTCCACCTCGCTTCCTCACAGACACCTCGTCGCGTTGTACCCCCAGGGGTGTCGATAGGGCGGGCTGGTCGTTTTGCCCGAGACTTCTTCACCGCGTATGATCCTGAAGCTAGAATTAAGTCGGGCCTGTCCCTCTACAGGGGGAATATTCAAAACTAGTCACAACATAGTCTGGGGACTATTTTTTAAGCGTTTGTTTGACCATTTTGGAGCATGTTTTGAGTATGTTTTATTTTTCGTCGAGGGGCACGCCCGACTTAAAGCTAGAAAGTTGCAACAGTTACCCGGGAAACAGGACAAGTGGTTTTGAACATGTGGTTCTCGACCCAGCTCCGCGCACATTCGTCGTCAGAGTCTCCAACAGCTGAAAGGATGGGGCACGGGTCGTTTTCAAACTGTGGCCCCCTCTGCGGCGTTGCGTGGTTTCGTGTCTCTTATTTTATGATGTTTCAACCTACTTCGGCCTTGATCACCAGAATGAATGTCGAGCACCAAGAAAACACCCCCAACATCGAACGTTTTCACGTGTCGGGCACTGGGAGACACTCTTTCGACCCTCTTTCGACACTTCTCTGGGTGCTCGAAATTATGTCTGGGATGTGGTCCTTAAGTACGATGGGAGTGACATAACTCTTATTGTAAGTTTGCAGCAGGTGCTGGAAGGGGCAGTCTGTTTTCAAGACTTGCCTCGCGCGTTAGGCACGCGCACGTTCGTGCTCAAAGTCTGCAGCAGTTACGCCGGTGCAGCACAAGTGGTTCTCGCCTCGGCTCCGTGCATATTTGTTTGTCGGGAGGAGGAAAAACACACAAACACTGTGAATCGTCGACCCACAGGGAAATATAGGAGCACATGGGAAGTGGGGGGGAAGGCGAGAGCCCAGAAGATATGAAGACATGTGGTGAATACAAGGATTTGTGCTAAATTTTTGGGGGGTCCATGGGCCCCCCTTAGGTGGAGCAGCTTGCAGCAGTCGCGGGGGCGGCGCGCACAGGTCGTCGTGTATGCAGCATGTGGGCCCCGCTGCCGTCGCGCGGCTTGGGCCCTTTGAAAGCTCGCAGCCGATGCGTGGGTGGTCAAAGGTCCGGGGGACACGGATCCAGCGGTTTCCCATAGTTTTGTGTCCGAGGCGGGAGTTTAGACATGACCACCGCCTGGAAGGTCAGTTTTCGGAGACTCGGCAGGCGGTAGATATGGACATATTCGGGCCCCCGGGGGCCGAAACATATCCATATCCACCGCCCGGGCACCAGGGCGTCGGTTCCCAGGCGGTGGATATGGATAAATCCCCGCCTCGCATTGTCGAAGTCGATTAATAGAGAGGAAGCATGCTGCCAAATAAATTCCACATAGCTAAAAGATGTTCAAAATATGTTGCTTGTTTTATTATGCATTATGTTAAAACATTATTGTCATGGCATCCACAACCATAGTTGTTACACATCTTCTGGATGATCGTCTTCCTTGCACGTCCCACATGTTCGAATGTTCTCTCGGCGCTCTGCGATCATTCGTGCCTGTGTGTTTTCTTCCCTTCTGAGATGGAGGGGGGGATCTGCGCGCCGCGCACACTCGTCGCACACGTGTGCAACAGGCACCGAGATGAGCGAATGATCCTTTTCAGCACGGGACTCCCGCCGCCGCTCCGCGCACGGCCGCCTCAGAAGCCTGCGGCAAGTCCAGGTGTGGAGGACGGCCCCTTTTCAAAGCAGGGCTCTCGCGTGAGAGTCCCACTCTTCTTCGACGTGCGGCTCTCGGTCGAGACATCCTCGACGTGCATGGCCAAAGATGCAGCCTTGTGCACTGGTTACACAGAAGCTGCCAAAGTGTCGACGTCGGGGCCTCGCTGGGCACCTTGTTGAGCTGTGCCATCATACCCCTTTTTGCATTCTGTCGCATCCGCAGGAGGAGGAGGAGGAGGAGGAGGAGGAGGAGGAGGAACGACGGAGGAGAAGGAGGACGAGGAGGAGGAGGAGGAAGAAGGATGCAGGCAAGGTTCCTTCTCGAACAGCGGGGCCCTCGCCTGAACGGCAGGCCCGCCGTGGGGGTGCTGGTTTTGTCCAGGGGGGCGAGGGGCTGGCGTGGTGAAGAAAGAGGAAGGCTGGAGGGATTCGTGAGGAGGAGGAGGAGGAACAGGAGCAGGAGCAGGAGGAGGAGGAGGAGCAGGAGCAGGAGGAGGAGGAGGAGGAGGAGGAGCAGGAGCAGGAGCAGGAGCAGGAGGAGGAGGAGGAGGAGGAGGAGCAGGAGGAGGAGGAGGAGGAGGAGGAGGAGGAGCAGGAGGAGGGGGACTCGGGACGGGACGGTGTCCTACCGCATCGTTGAGGCATCTTGGGTTTCGTCTGGTCCTCCTTCTCCCATCGGGCGCCTCCTTTTCCACCCCCCTCCTCCCCAGGAGGAGGAGGAGGGGGACGGTTCTACTTCTGAGATTTCTACGCTCCTCGCCTTTTCCGGGTCTCTGGGAAGGACTTCGCCGCTTCGGCTTTGGCCCGCTTCGACGTCCGAGTGCGCTTCAGGACAAGGGTGGTCGGTCGGACATGGCATTCGCGCTGTCGTTGTGCCCTCGCAGGTGACGAAAACCCCGTGAGGGGGTTGGAGTTGTTCCGCTTGCCTCCCCAACAGAGGGAGGTCAGGCCGCCAGGCCTTGAGCTCCCAGGAATCCCAAGGCAATGCAACAAGCTGGCGGCGGACTACTTTCTTTGATCGCGACCGCGCCGAGGGCTGTCGGGCGGCGTCCGAGGGCGCAACAAATCTACGCGGCGGCCTAAAGCACGCGCAACGGGAGAGGGAAAGAAGACACGAGGGTGCACAGCGGGGGGAGGAAACAAAAAACAGGAGGCGAGCCTCGCTGTCGCTCCGAGGAGGGCGCGAAGCGCAGAGAACGAGCAGTGCGCAGCCCAGGAATTACAGCACAGGAGGACGAGGAGGAAGAGGAGGAGGAGGAGGAGGAGGAGGAGGAGGAGGAGGAGGAGGAGTAGGAGGAGGAGGAAGAGGAGGAGGAGGAGGGGAGGAGGAGGAGGAGGAGGAGGAGGAGGCGGAGGAGGAGGAGGAGGAGGAGGAGGAGGAGGAGGGAGGAGGAGGAGGAGGAGGAGGAGGAGGAGGAGGGGAAGGGAGGAACAGAAGGAGAGAAGCGCAGAACGACGCGAACAGGTGCAAAAACGCCATCAGGGGCGCATGGTGGCGAGGCCGTGGGGCGCAGGCCTGGAGGACAGCCGCTCGACACTGATCAGCACGAGCAGTGCCGGGGAGGTGCTCGAAAGTTGTGGGCATCCCCTCAGGGCTTTGCCCAAGATTGTGAAGGCCCGACGGCCGGTGCCGCCGACCCTGAAAGACATCGACGACGACCAGGAGGGTGAGGAGGAGGAGGAGGAGGAGGAGGCGGAGGCGGAGGCAGAGATAAGGAGGAGGAGGAGGAGGCGGAGATAAGGAGGAGGAGGAGGAGGAGGAGGAGGAGGAGGAGGCGGAGGCGGAGGAAAAGGACCCCCCCTGGCCCAAAATTCTCGTGGCCGCGCTTCGGCTGCGAGGCCGGTGCTCCCCGTGCCCCCGAGGGGGGCGGCGTGCCACCCGCGGCCCCAGTCGCCACCACCCCCCTCTCGGCAGCCATGGGCGAGGAGGAGGTCGCCGCCCTGGTGGTCGACAACGGCAGCGGCATGTGCAAGGCCGCCGCTGTTGCCGCCGCCGTTCGTCGCCGTCGTGGTCGTCGTCGTCGCCGCCTCCGACGCCGCCACCGCCGCCGCCGCCGCCGCCGTCGTCGTCGCCGTCGTCGTCGTCGTCGTCGTCGTCATCGTCATCGTGGTCGTCGTCGTCGTGGTGGTCGTCGTCGTCGCCGCCAACGTGATCATCGTGGTCGTCGTCGTCGTCGTCGTCGTCGTCGTCGTGGCGGCGGCGTGTGCCAGGCCGGCTTCGCGGGCGACGACGCGCCCCGCGCCGTGTTCCCTTCGATCGTGGGGCGTCCGAAGATGCCTGGCATCATGGTCGGCATGGACCAGAAGGACAGCTATGTGGGTGACGAGGCCGGGCGGCGTCGCAGAAGCCAGTTCGGGAGCCTTGAGACGGGGGTCAATGCAAACGGGGGTCAGCCAGGGCGCCAGATCCTGCAGGATCCTGCGAAGACCCCCTCTGGCTGACCCAGGTTAGCGAGCCGCTCGTGGCCGCGAGGCGGCCGCGCATATTGGCTGACCCGGGTTTGCGAAGACCTGCGTTGCAGTTTTTTGTTCCTGCATTGCAGTTTTTGGTTTCCTGCTGACCCGGGTCTGGATTGACCCGGGTCAGAAGATCCCCGAGTCTGAAATTTTGGCATCGCTTGGACGTGTGCTTCTTTTGTTTTGGCGAGGATCATCGAGGATCATCTTGCGAACAATTAAATCAGCCACGCGCAGGGGGGGCGGGGGGAGGGGGGAGGGCTTCTTAGCAGCACCCCTGCTTCTTGGCAGGCGCGGGCCTTATCTATAGATGTAAGGCCGGCGCCTTCTAAGAAGCAGCCTCCTTCTAAGAAGCCCTCCCTCCACCCCCTTGTGCGCGTCGCCAAATAAACGCTCGAAATCGAAAAGTGCACAGGGAGTGAACGTCGGAGCGATGGCAAGGTGCACAGCCTGGCCGTCGGTGCCGCCGCGGACTTCCCGCACACCTGAGACACGCCGCCTGCTCAACAGCGGCCGCCGTCGGCTTTGCGCAGCCTCTGCCGATGGACAGGGTCCCCGTCTGGGCGTGTGGAGGAGGAGGGGAGAGAGGAGGAGGCAGAGCAGAGCAGATCCTGCACGGCCGCAGGGCCGGTCCTTCACAAGACACGGGAGGAAAATATCATACACTAAATTCCTGACGCACACAGCCACACACCCACACAACAACACGCACCACACCACAACACAGCACAACACGGCCAACAACACAACCACACGACACCACAGCACACCCGCAAACACGCGCGCGTGAATGCCATCACTCAGACGCCGTCCGTCCATCTGCACGCCGGACGAACACGCTTCCTGTAAGCTACTTGCCCAGGCACAGTTGGCCGGAGTGACCAATGATACACGCGAGAGACGATGCTTGCCGGTCGATTTGTGACCTTGTCAATCAGTCTTGACCGTTGCTTGTCGCGCGCCTGGCTCCAGACCGCCACGCGGGTGCTGTCCCACGCAGAACCCAATCATTCTTTCATGCGACGTCCTAATTATGACATTCGATTCCTCCTCGTCGTGTCTCACCCAGCCCACAATACGTCTCATCATCTTCTGCTGTGTTCCATCTAGTCTCTCCAACTGCGATACTGTAAGCGTAGTTGTTGATAGGCTGTGTAATGACAGCGTCGAACAATCGAAGGCGCAGTTTGACCAGAATCTTGTGGTTGAGCAAGGGGTGGCGCAGCTCACGGAAACGCATCCAAGCACACGACAGACGATGATCAATATTTCTTTGCCCCCTCGAAGTCAGATCTCCCGGCAAAGACTTTCCAAGATACTTGTGGGAAGAATTTGCCTTGATGACTTCCACGAACATGCCGGCGATGTCCACGAGCAGGGGTGTTGGTCCAGAGGATACTGCGGCATCCGTCGTCAGAAGCATCGTTTTGAATCCATTTGCCACAAGCCCAGCTTTGGCAAACTCCTCCACAAGCAGCGCAGTCATCTCCTCGACCTCGCACACAGACTTCGCAAACAATATATGATCGTCCGCGACACGGACGTTCGTCAGCCGGTCAGCAGCGTCGCCGGAAAGTTGGAAGCCATGGTCAAGCGCATCTTCCACCAGCGCATGACTGCTTTGGTTGCTGCGTTGAGCAAAAGCGGGCTTAAGATGTCCCCCTGTCTGACTCCGCGGCAGATCGCGAACGTGGTGCCGTCGACAATGCCCACCTGGTCCGAATATATGAACTTCAGCAGGATCATGTACTTGTTTGGCAATCCGAGTTCTGTCAGCGAGCCTAGCAAAGCATTATGCTCGAGCGTGTCGAAAGCCTTGCGCAGGTCCACGCTTAGCACCCAAAGCGGAAGATGCCACTCCAACGATGCCCCGGTCATGCATTCTAGGGCCATCAATGCCTCGTCGACTCCGCAAGCTGTTCGGGAACCCATCTGTTCATCTGAGATTTGCTTGTCCATATAGGGAAGGATGCGCTTGTGAACCGTCTTGGCGAACACTTTTAAAAACGACATCGAGGATGGCTACCGGCCGCCAATTCTGCGCGTCCCTCAGGTCTCCACTCTTCGGCAGCATCACAAAGATAAGCCCACTCCAGTCTCGAGGGAAACGACCGCCCTGTGGCACGTCGCTGCACTTTCGCAACAGGATGTGCTTGATGGCGTTGCCGCCTTGCGCCAGCATCTCCAGAACCGCTCCGTGCTTGTCAGCGCACTTACCCTTGGAGAGATCTTTCAATGCGTTGACTAGCTCGTCCGTTGTAAAAGGATCTATCTCTCGCAACAGCATCGCGCTCCCCCCGTCTGCCAGAGGCTGGTCTGAAACATACAATTCCCCTATCATTCTTGCACAATCTTCCGGTTTCGGCTTCACCGAAGTCTTGCGTTGCTTGGTTTCGAAAGCTATTTTGTGAAGCTGGTGGAGGTCCCGGAACTTCCCAAGCTGCTCTTGCAGCCGCTGTGTCTGCCAGCGTCTCAAAGCTTGCCTCGTCTTCTTGGCTATTTCCTTCGAAAAAAAGTACGCCCCTCGCGGTCCGTGCAATATTTCCGTCGTTTCCTCAAGTCTTTGAGCTCTGCTGAGTCCCGCTGGCGGTCTTGAAGTTGGGCCCCGACTGCACCGGAAGCGCGTGCGGCTGTTCTCATGGTGTCCTGCAGTTCATGCCAAGATTAATCCCCAATTTCATCCAAGAGGGTTTCACATTCCTTCTCGTAGGTCGGAGAACCCATCCGTTTCGTCGACGATCTATTTTTCCGCCGGCTGGCGCCTGCAAGAAGCGCAAGAAAAGCGGCGTAGACGGCGCGATGGTCAGATCCACAATCGAGCTCGGTTATGGCTGCTGAACCAGACAAACTCAGCGAGGAGGAACAAAATATGTAATCGATCTTACGCTTATGTCCCAAGGTGCTTTCGAATGTCCACTGAAGCTCCCAATACATATCGTCCCCATTTGCTGCATAAGCGTCGTTTTCCCGATACAAGTTGGACAGCAGGTTCCCACGAACGCCACAATGCAGCATAGCATTAAAATCGCCGATCAGTTGCACGTGCCGCTTCTGCCGAGTTGGTTCCGCCATCAGACTTCGCAGTCCAGCATAGAAATTGTCCAAATCAGCCCTGGGGTACCCAGCCTGTGGACCATAGACGCAGATCACCCGGAAGTATTGTCCATTGTAATCAATGTCTACCATCAGATGCCTGCCATAAAATTTTCGGATATGAGTGTCTCTGGTAGCAAGGCGCGAATGAAGAAGGATAGATGCACCTAGGTGTCTTATTTGATCTCTTGCGCTCGATATTAGACGGTGCCCTCCTGCCAAAATGTCATCGCCATCAGCGGCCCGTGTCACATTGAAACCGACGATGTCCCAGAAGATACCGTTCAACTCGGCAAGCACATTCAACAGTTTTGTCGGAGAATTGGTTCTTGCATTCTTGCAGAAAGCGTTGAAACATGCAAATGAATTCTGTGCAGGACCGGTGGTGAAACGTGCAGCCGTGCGGGGTCACCCCTAGTGCCCCGGCTTCCCCTTGCCCACTCCCTTGCCGAAGCTCCGATTGAATTTGTCCTTGAACTCTCAACAAGTCCGTCCATTCTGCCTCCTGCAAGTGCTCCTCTCAGCCCAGTTCGAAGCAGAGGCGAATGTCGTCGTTCTCGGTGCTCACCTTCATCACGAGGTCGCCGGCCATATTCAAGGTGTTCGTTTCGGGGTCCGCCCAGAAAGCAGATTTGTTGTATCCCCATTTCACAAGGTAGCGCTTCGCAGCAAAGATGATCGAGTTAGGGATGCGCACCTTCAGCGGCAAGTCCGGCTTTGCCCACATCGTCTCCCCCTGCCACTCCAGCTTTGCCCCCCGAACTTTTGAACACAACAGTGTCACGTTCAGCGTTGGACGCAAACCTTGCGAACCATATGCCCGTGAAGTCGCCTTTGACAAACGTCTCGAGCGGCATTGGCGCCTCGATGTACTTGAGCTGCCGCGCCACCCAATATTCTGCGTCATCTTGAGAGACTGCCCACTTCAAATCTCCGATCACCGCCACTGTGGTTTTTTCAGATTTGGATCCAAGGTTTGCGAACTTCTCCTCAAGCTCGGCCATCTTCCAGTTTATCTCCGTCTCATACGAAGCACTCTGCGAAGGGGTCAATGACCATCCCTGGTACCGGACTGCTCCAAAGCATCGATACGAACGGAAAGTTGTTGCATGCTTATAGATCACCCAAGGAAGGGCTACCCTAGGGCTACCCCTAGGGCCTACCCCTAGGGCTACCCTAGGGCTACCCTAGGGCCTACCCCTAGGGCTACCCTAGGGCTACCCTAGGGCCTACCCCTAGGGCTACCCTGGGGCTACCCCTAGGGCCTACCCCTAGGGCTACCCTAGGGCTACCCCTAGGGCCTACCCCTAGGGCTACCCTAGGGCTACCCTAGGGCCTACCCCTAGGGCTACCCTAGGGCTACCCTAGGTCTGTCCCCTCCTCCCTCCTCCTGGCCCCTCGTCTTCCGAGTCTCCGAGAGGGGGGAGGGAATCCCCGAGGGGGGGACGGTGTGCGAGGGGGGGTCCCAGAGGGGGGGTCAGCGAGGGGGGGTCTGTGAAGGGGGGGTCCCAGAGGGGGGGTCTGCGAGGGGGGGGGCCCAGAGGGGGGTCCCAGAGGGGGGGTGCGAGCGAGGGGGGTCTGCGAGGGGGGGTCGAAGGGGGAGTCAGCGAGGGGGAGAGCGAGAGGGGGGTCTGCGAGGGGAGGGGTCAGCGAGGGGGGAGAGGGGGGTCCCAGAGGGGGGGGGTCAGCGAGGGTCCCAGGAGGGGGGGTCAGCAGAGGGGGGGTCCAGCAGAGAGGGGGGTCGTGCGAGGGGGGGTCTGCGAGGGGGGGTCAGCGAGGGGGGGTCTGTGAGGGGGGTCCCAGAGGGGGGGTCCCAGAGGGGGGGTCCCAGAGGGGGGGTCTGCGAGGGGGGGTCTGCGAGGGGGGGTCAGCGATGGGGGGGTCAGCGAGGGGGGGTCCCAGAGGGGGGGTCTGTGAGGGGGGGTCTGCGAGGGGGGGTCAGCGAGGGGGGGTCCCAGAGGGGGGGTCTGCGAGGGGGGGTCTGCGGCGCCGGGGCCGCGGTCGCCGGGGGGCGGCGCGGGCGCCCTGCCCTCGGAAGGGGGAGCGGGGGGGGGGGAAGCAGGGGATCGAGGGAGTAGCGAGGGAGGAGGAGGAGGTGGAGGAGGAGGAGGAGGAGGAGGGGGAGGAGGAGGATGAGGATGAGGAGGAGGAGGAGGTGGCGGCGGAGGCGGAGGAGGCGGCGGGAGCAGGGGGGAGGGAGGAGGCGGGCGGACGGAGTGAGGAGGGAGGAGGGAGGAGGCGTGCGGAGGTAGGAGGGATGCTTCCTCCCCCTTCTCCGCCTCTTCCACCCCCACTCCGCCACAAAGGGCATCAACATGTAATCCGCCAGCAAAGCAAGCAATGCCTTTAATGTCCCGCCCGCCCGCCCGACCAAAATAATCAGCTTGTAATCCGCCACAATAGTAATCAACTTGTAACCCGCTGCCGCATGGAATCACTTTGCAATCCGCCACCAAAGCAACCAATGCTTTTAATGTCCCGCCCGCCCGCCCGACCAAAGGAATCAGTTTGTAATCCGCAATAAAAGAGAATCCATTCGTAATTCGCCACAAGCAATCATTGCCTTTAATGTCCCGCCCGCCCGCCCGACAAAAGGAATCAATGTGTAATCTGCCACAATAAGAATCAGTGTGCCACCCGCCACACATGCAATCAATGCCTTTAGTGTCCCGCCCGCCCGCACGACAAGAATAATCAGTTGATAATCCACCACCACACAAGCAATCATTGCCTTTAATGTCCCGCCCGCCCGCCCGACAAAAGGAATCAATGTGTAATCTGCCACAATAAGAATCAGTGTGCCACCCGCCACACATGCAATCAGTGCCTTTAGTGTCCCGCCCGCCCGCCCGACAAGAATAATCAGTTGATAATCCACCACACAGGGAATCAATATATGTAATCCGCCACGAAGGCAACCAATGCTATTAATGTCCCGCCCGCCCGCCCGACCAAAGGAATCATATTGTAATCCGCAATAAAGGGTTACCCCTAGGGCCTACCCCTAGGGCTACCCTGGGGCTACCCCTGGGGCCCACCCCTAGGGCTACCCTAGGGCTACCCCTTGGGAAGCCCAGGGCCTTGGGTAGGGCCTACCCTTGGGAAGCCTAGGGCCTTGGGTAGGGCCTACCCTTGGGAAGCCTAGGGCCTTGGGTAGGGCCTACCCTTGGGAAGCCTAGGGCCTTGGGTAGGGCCTACCCTTGGGAAGCCTAGGGCCTTGGGTAGGGCCTACCCTTGGGAAGCCTAGGGCCTTGGGTAGGGCCTACCCTTGGGAAGCCTAGGGCCTTGGGTAGGGCCTATCCTTGGGAAGCCTAGGGCCTTGGGTAGGGCCTACCCTTGGGAAGCCTAGGGCCTTGGGTAGGGCCTAGGGTAGCCAAGGCCCCCGGTGATCTATACCGTTGCATGTCGTGTTTGATCGGGTCCAGGGCCTCCTGCAACTCTGCTCTGGAAGCCCCGTGCTCCTTGAAAGCTTCGATGTCCCCGTGGATGGGCTGCACGTACTGCTTGAGCATGCCCTCGATCGCGGTCGTGCTGATCCCTGCTGCAGCTGCGGAAGAAGATAATCTCCCCCTCCTGCATTTTGTGGGCCCCGGAAACGGCAGGGCCGTTTTTTCCACCGTTTCCAAAAAAATGTCCCTTGAAAATGGAAACGGCAAAAAAACGGCGACCGGAAACGGCAGAAAATCGGCTCCAGGATTGGAATTGGAGCCGGAACCGGTCAAAAAACGGCGACGGAACCGGTAAAAAAACGGCGACGGAACCGGCAAGAAAACGGCAAAACGGAACCGGTAACAAAACGGCCCTGCCGTTTCCAGGGCCCACTAAGCTCTTGCATCCTCCCTCCTCTCTTCCATAACTAATCTCCCCCATCCCATTTGGGCAGTTTGCCGACCCCCCCCCCGCCTTCTGGGCGCGCGACGTCCTGGAAGGTCTGGGGCGCTGCCCGGGGGTTCTCGCGCCGCCACGGCGGCGCGCGGCCCCGAAGCCTGGCGGCATCGGGGGCAACGATAGTCAAGCAGTGGCGAAGCGTCCTGGCTCGCCTATAGGCCTACCAAACAATGTTCTAAGAACCTTTTGTGGTTTCCAGGAAACGTTCTTCGAACATTTCTGGCTGGGGCCGTCTTGTTTTAACACATCGGGAATCTGTTCTAAGAACACTGTTTTTGCTCTTAGAACATTTGTGGGTTCTAAGAACAAGTCGTGGTAGGACTACAGGAATGCCGGGACGGCCGGTCCCTGCTCAAGATAGGGGGGGATGGGCATAGGGGGGGATGCATCGACCCCCAATCGCCCATTGATCGTCGATAGGGACCCGATAGCCACACCCCTCCCAGGAAGGTGCGGATTCACTGTCGGGGGCCTATCGCCGATCTATCGACGATGTATCGTCGATTCCAGGTCGATGCATCCCCCCAAGGCCTATCCCCCCTATCGTTGCCCCTCACGACAGGGCAGACCACGGGGGGGATCTGGGGACCAAGTCGCTGTGCGGCTTGGAGTTCGGTCCAGGGCGAGGGAGTCGGCCTTCTCGGGAGGCGGGGGGGCGCCTCCCAGAAGGCAAGGGGTTTTCCTGCGTGCGGCCCGGAGGCAAGACTGCTTCCAGGAGGCTGAGGTCAAATCGGGCCTGTCCCTCTACAGGGGGGATATTCAAAAATAGTAGAAATAAATAGTCTGGGGACGATTTTTGGAGCACTTTTTATAACTTTGGTGCATTTTTGGTGTATTTTTGATTGTTCGTCCGACAGGCCCGAACTAAGGCTGGGGGTCTGGGCCTCCCAGGTGGGGTCCCAGCAGGTGGGGTCGGTGGATCTCGCCGCATCTCGCCGAGGCATCGCAGACGTGGCTCGGTGCGAAGCTCTGTTTCCTCCACGCTGACGGCGCCGATGCATCGCCGACGTCGCTGGTGCATCGCCAGTGCATCGACGATGCATCGCCGAAGCATCGGCGATGCAGCGCGATTCTCCAGCCCCATCTGCTCGGACCGCATCCGGGAGGCCTCTACTGGGGGGGGAGCATGAGACGGCCCATGCCTTCCGGGCGGCCCTTCGCCCGCGTAGAGGGGCGCCCCTCTCCAACCCCCGCACACCACCCGCTGCGCAGGCTGCACGTGCGGATGAGCGCTCAGGCGTTCTACCCTCTCCCGCGGTCGGTGGGTGTCTTTCTTCGGCGGTGTGGCCACTGCAACCAGCCGTTAGCTGCATCATGCGTAGCTCAGAGGGCCGCTCGCCCTGGTCTGGAGAGGCATCCGAACAGGGCGTCCGTGGGGGAATCCGTCGTGCCCCAAGTCGGAGGATCGCCCAAGCTGCTGCTTGTCACGCAGTGACTTGGCGTCTTCTCGCAGAGGCCTTGCGACACTCCTGGTGGTCCGAGAGCGTTAGAGAGATCGATCAGACGTGGCAGCTGCGGGCGAAACCAAAAGCAGAGGCGCAGAGCAAGCGCGGGGTGCTGACGCTGAAGTACCCCATCGAGCACGGCATCGTGACCAACTGGGACGACATGGAGAAGATTTGGCACCACACCTTCTACAATGAGCTCCGCGTGGCCCCAGAGGAGCACCCCGTGCTCCTGACCGAGGCGCCCCTGAACCCCAAGGCCAACCGCGAGCGCATGACACAGATCATGTTCGAGACCTTCAACGTGCCGGCGATGTACGTGGCCATCCAGGCGGTGCTCTCGCTCTACGCCTCCGGCCGCACCACTGGCATCGTCATGGACTCTGGCGACGGCGTGTCGCACACCGTACCCATCTACGAGGGCTACGCTTTGCCTCACGCCATCCTCCGCCTCGACCTGGCTGGCCGCGACCTCACGGAGTACCTTATGAAGATCCTCACCGAGCGCGGCTACTCGTTCACCACCACGGCCGAGCGCGAGATCGTGCGCGACGTCAAGGAGAAGCTCTGCTACATCGCCCTCGACTTCGACACAGAGATGAAGGCTGCCACGGAGAGTTCGGACAAGGATCAGGGGCAGCGCTAGGGGGAGATAGGCTCAGGCGGGGATGAATCGACCCGATCGCCCATTGATCGCTGGTAGGGGCCCGACAGCCAATCCCACCCAAGAACATTCGTCGGCTTCGCCATCGGTGGCCTGCCGCCGATGTGTCGGCGATGTATCGCCGATTCCACGTCGATAGGCCCCCTCCGCTGAGGCGGTCCGCCCCTAGCGTGGCCCCTCAGAGGAGAAGACGTACGAGCTTCCAGACGGCAACATCATCACGGTAGGCAGCGAGCGGTTCCGCTGCCCCGAGGTGCTCTTCCAGCCCAGTTTCGTGGGCAAAGAGGCGAGCGGCATCCACGACACCACCTTCCAGTCCATCATGAAGTGCGACGTCGACATCCGCAAGGACCTCTACGCCAACGTGGTCCTGTCCGGCGGCACCACCATGTTTCCTGGGATCGGCGAGCGCATGACGAAGGTCGGCGGCCGACTTCGAAGAAGAAAGCATCGAAGAAGAACGAAACACATAAACACAAACTTTCGACGCTCCGCGCGGATTTCTCGGATCCGCGCTGGGCCCCCCGGCGGCGCCTCCGGCGCCGCCCCTGGCACGCTCCGCGCGCCAGGGAGGGGCGTCCGGCGCAGATCCCAGCGATCCGCGCGGAGCGCCCAACGGTTATATGCTTATGTGGTTATTCGCTCCTTGAAACTGAACAAAGATGAGTTGTCTGATCGGGCCGAGCAGAAGGGGGGGATATGGGGGGCTCCTGAGAAGTTCCGCCGCCTTCTGAGAAGGCCTTCTCCTTCTCATTTCTTTCCCTCGCTCGCCGCCGACACGAGGCTCACGCCGTTCCGCCGACCCCCAGAAGAGGCGGAGAGTCTGCGCTGGGAGGCGTCGTGGGCCTCTCGGGCACTGTCTGGGGGCCTCTGCGAGCATCTCGGGAGCTGTGTGGGGGCCTGGTGGAGTCCCCTGTCTTCGGATGCCACTCCTGGGAGGTCAAATTCTGATTTTGCCCTGGTCCGTAATCCGGCTGAAACCCGATTATAATCCCGCTTAATCCGGCCTGATCCCGCTCACTCCCGCTGAATCCGGCTTCATCCTGCTCAGTCCGAGGCCCATTCCAGTGTAAGAGCTCCCGAGCGGGCCTTACTCTTCCTTCATCTCTCCGACGAAGACCTCCCAGTAGTTGCCTCCTAAATCTCGGGAGCTGTTCAGGAGGGAAAGAAACACACAGACACAATTATTCATCCATTCCCAGGACAATATAGGAAAAATATGGGAAGTGGGGGGGGAGGCGAAAGCCGCCAAAAAGATTGGAAAGTATGGGGACTCCGGTTATTTGTGTGTATTTATTTGTGTGTCCCAGGGCCCCTTCAGCTGTGCTGGGGCCGTGCTCGCCCTCCCGAGCCTCCGACCGCCTCCGACCGCCGCGCGGCCGCCGCGCGGGTCGCCCCGCGCAGACTTGTTGCAGGAGCTCGCGCACCGCTCTCTCGAAGTCCCCCGGCGATGCAGGGCGCGACCGGGGTCGGGATGAACAAAACACAGACACAATGAATCGTCGATTCCCAAGATCTCGAGAATATGGGAAAATATGGGAGGTGGGGGGGAAGACGAAGACGCAAAAAATATGGGGAAATAGGCGGTCAGGAGGAACAAAACACACAGACACAGTTAATCGTCGATTCCCAAGAGAATCGGGGGTGGACAGACCTCCTAATTACCCTGACACGTCGATTAAGGAATGGGCCGTTTGCGGTTCGCGTGAGGGTGTCGCGGCCGTCATTTTTGCGGGTCCAGGTCCGTCGGTTTCGGTCCCAGGCCGTTTTCACTAAGGGGAGGTTAACTAAAGGGAGGTTTGTCCACAGCCGAGAAAATATGGGAAAATATGGGAAGTGGGGGGGAAGACAAACACCCAGAAAATATGGGGAAATGTGGGGAATCCGGTTGTTTGTGTGTATTTGTTTGTGTGTTCCAGGGCCCCTTCAGTTTGCAGGAGCTCGCGCGCAGTTTTCTTGAAATCCCAGGGCGATGAAGGGTGCGACTGGGGGGGGGGAGAGGAACATCGGGAGGCAAACAAGGACAGGCCCCACGAGGCAGACGTCAACTGAACGACGCCAGAATATCCGAATTGATAGAATGTGCCTGGGGGCTTTGTTCCATCACTGCCAACGCTGCCACGCGTTCGGCGGCCAGGGATGTTTGTGGATTCTGCGAGCCCACGGATTCCCAAAAGGGCGGCTGACAGATCGCCGCAGGCTGCGAGGTCGGCGACAGCCCAGCCCGCGACGCGGCATTCTTCGGGACCGTCTTTCAGGCACGAGCCATCCGCGAAGACTTCACGCGCGAAAGCGCCCCGAACCGCGAGAGAGGAGCCGGCGCGGGAGAAACGGAACGGCGCAAAGCCCGACCCGTGCGGCGGGCTGACAGTCGAGCCGGGCAAGGCAAGGAAACCGCACACAAAGCGGACAATTCCGACGGCCGACGCTGATGGTTACCCCGTCAGAAGCCCCCACCATGCTGCCCTCAGGGGGGCCGAGGGGGACAGTGGCGAAGGCGGTGTGAAAGGCAATTTGTTGGATCTTACCAGCCTCGACACGCCAAAAGGCGATGACAATCTTAGGGATGCGCCCCAAAAATTCGGGGAATCCCTAAGATTGGCATCGTGATGAGGAGATGCCCAGCATAGGGATAGGGATATGTTCCAGGCTGGTAAGGATCCCCGCAAGCGCAGACAGAGGATGCCTCGTGTCCTGCACGTGGCGGGCTCCTCCCGGTCCGCAAAGTTTCGGCCAGAAGAGAAAGCAGGACGCCCGCTTCCTCCTCTGGAGAGGGCCCCCACGATCCAGCACCTCACGGGCAGCTGACGAAGCTGCCTCGGCACCGGCCTCGAGACCGAGCCTCTGACCGCTCGTGCGCACACTGCACGTCTGCCAAGCAGCCTTCGGTTCGTTCTCCAAGAATTTCGGGGGGAACGCCGTGAGGGGTCACAACTCTCAGGAGGGAGAAAAACACACACAGACACAATGAATCGTCGATTCCCCCGAAAAAGTGGGAAAGTATGGGCAGTGGGGGGGGGAGACGAAAGCCTCAAAAATATGGGAAACTGTGGGGAATCGGTTGACGTGTGTGCCCTTTTCTTTGCGTGTCACGGGGGGCCCCTTCGCGCTCGCCCGCCGCAGCCGTGCACACCACTGGCGGGCTGCGCCTCCCGGCGTCGACGCGCTGGAGAGAAGAGACGGGATCTCAGCGGCACCGGGGGCTCCGCGCGCGCTCCCCCGAAGATTCCTCGGGGGCGCGCTACCTCCGTAGTTTTCGGCCCGAGTCGCGAGAGAGCTTGAAGCGCCAGTTGGGCTTCTCAAGAGGCCCACGGGCCGGCGCTAACACTTTTACCATCGCCTGTTGAAAAACATCGTGCGCCCATCATCCACAGGGGCGGATAGGACTCGGGAGGGAAGGGAACACACAGGCACGATTCACATCGTCGCTGCCCCGGAGAATATGGGAAGGTATGGGAAGTGGGGGGGAAGGCAGCAAAAAAACACCCAGGACATGCGGGAGAAGAGGAAGCGTCCTGTTATACTTGTGTGTACGTTTGTTTGCGTGTCCCAGGGGGCCCCTTCAGAGATGGGCGCCGTGGGCGAGAGGAGACGAGGCATGGGGAAGCGGTTGTGCGCAGACCTACAGTCGGGGCCCTGAAGAAGGAACCCTTTTCGTTGGGGAGGGGCTCCGCGTTCCTTAAGTGTTTCGCAGCTTGCCTCAGGTTTTCCTTGTGTTTTCGATCGTAAATCGAAGTTTTTTATTATGGAAAAAAAGGGGCCTCGTTCCTTGTTTTGGGTTCCTTAGGTCAAGGCCCCGACTGTATCCGCGCCGGCGCGCCATGCAGTGCTTGGCCACAGGGGTGCCAGGGCCAGGCCCTGGCGCCAGGGCGGGTCTTCGAGCAGGGCTATAAGGGTAGTTCCAGGCCGCGAGCGGCTGTCGCCTCTGCATCCGGCGATGGCCAAGACGGAAGACAGCAGCTTGCGCAATTCCTTGGCATCGCTCGGACGTGTGCATTTTTTCCTTTGGCGAGGACCATCGAGGAGCATCCCTGATCATTTGGCGGAAAAGCCACGCACGAAACCGAAAAAAGCACAGGGAATGGACGTCCGAGCGATGGCCAGATTCGGCATCGCCGACACCTGTGACTTCGGCGCCGTAGGTGACAGACGAGGCCCAGCCTGACGTACTAAGTTTGCGCATATCCGTGCCAGCCCGCCTCAGAGCCGCGAGACGCCTCTTTCGGGTTGACCCAAAGGGGGGTCCTGCGACAAGGGGGTGGTGCAATGGATTTGGTGCACTAGATTTGTGTGGTTGTAATACATTTGGGGCGTGCAATACTTTCCAGGGCGCAAATGTATTGCTGTATTTTCGCGTGCAGTACATTACTTGCAATACAATGCGATACAATTCTCCGGCGCAATAAATTTGCAATACATTCGCCCCAAGTTTACTGCACCGCTCCTTTTCAGCTGGATTCCATTTTGAATCACCCAAAGTCTTGCGTTATGTCAGTTTGCGCATGCGTTCACGAAACGCTGGGCGACTAGAATTGCGGCATCTGCAGTTGCCCAGTGCTAAGTCTACACCCAGATTCTTCGCAGAAGGGCCCACGCGCCCGGCAATAGGGACGAGCGCCTTGGCGAGCCTCCTGCGGAGGTCGTCAGAGCCGGCTAAGGTGATTTGGCAATCGAGCAACCGAACTCACCCTGAATCACCGTAACCAAAGAGACGGCGCCTCTTCGGATTGTCCTGACCGCCTGTTCCAAATCGTCGTCGGTTATACCGACGTGGAGGTCATCAATGAAAAGGGCGAGAGGGAGCCGAGGATGTTCCATCTGCCAATCTGCGAACGCCTTGTACGTGCACGCTTGCACGAGGAAGGCGGCCTAGGAACATCCTGCCGCAATGCTGCGAGTAGGGTGACCTGCGCTCACGGTTGCGCGCTCGTGCGTTGCGAATCATTGGGTTTGGTACTGATTGGCCACGCGCAGAGGGGAGTGGGGGAGGGGGGAGGATTTATTAGAAGCACCCCCGCTTCTTGGAAGGCGCGGGCCTTCTCTATAGACGTAAGGCCGGCGCCTCCTAAGAAGCAGCTATCTTCTAAGAAGCCCTCCCCCCTCCCTCCCCACTTCCTTGTGCGCACCGCCAAATCGATTCAAAGCCACGCACAGGATGACGAGGCTGCTTTCCAGCCTCGCGAGGCTCCGCAGCTGCGCCTCGCCGAGAGCGTTCCAGGGGGGTGGGGGGGCCCAGGACCTTCGGCCGCAGGGGAAGCCCGAGGCCGCAGGGCGCCCTGGCCGCCTGAGGGGGCCAGAGTTTTGGCCCGAAAGCCACCTCGGCGGCGAGCCGACTCCTCCTCCTCCTCCTCCTCCTCCTCCTCCTCCTCCTCCTCCTCCTCCTCCTCCTCCTCGTCCTCTTCTTCCTCGTCCTCTTCCTCCTCCGCCTCCTCCGCCTCCTCTTCCTCCTTCTCTGCCTCGCCTCGGGGGGGAGGGGAGGAGGAGGAGGAGGAGGAGGAGGAGGAGGAGGAGGAGGAGGAGGAGGAGGAGGAGCGAGGAGGAGGAGGAGAGGAGGAGGAGGAGGAGGAGGAGGAACAGCAGGAGGTAGTCGCCGCCTCCACTCGGCGGCGAGCGAGGGGGGGGAAGTGAAACGGAGAAGTCCTCTCAGAAGGCGGCGGGGCTTCTCAGAAGCCCTCCGGCCTTCTGAGCAGCGTGCTGCGTCTTCGGGGAGGGCTCAGGAAGCTCCTCGGGAAGCCCGGGGCCTTCCGAGCCTTCTGAGAAGGTCCGCCCCTGCTCATCTCCCTCCCGGCCTCGCCGTGGGTGCAGGGCGGCGGGGGCAGGCTCTGGGCCGGGCGTTGCCGGAGCTGCCTCTGGCCCAGGGTGCACCCCCGGGCTTCGCCAGGAGGCCACCGCGGCCTGCAGATCTTGGGACCCCCCAAACCGGGTGGTGAGATACCAGGTGGCGACCTGGAATCCCCAAGAAGGTCACCGCTGGGTTTGGGGACGCGGGGTCACCACCGGGTTTTGTGACTCCTGGACCCCACCAGTGTCCGGGACATCCTCGGAAAAAACGCACGAGTCCCCAAACCGGGTGGTGACACCAAATCGCCCGAGACTCACCGGCAGGTGTTGTCACCACCACGTTTGGGGACTACCAAAGATCACCCGCGCCGAGGCCCAGAGGCCCCCCCTCGGGGCCCCCAGAAAGGGGGCGAGAGGCGGGGGGCACCTCGGGCCAGGGGCGCCTGTGCAGTGGAGGCCCACGCCAAGAAGAGACGCCCTGCTTGCCTCCAGGGTGCACTGGGCTCCGTGGGTCTCGAGAGCGTCTGGCTGGGCGCCCACAGCAAACGTCGCTGCGCGTCCTGGGGTGTCAGGGCCGGGTCTCTCGTGGCCGGGCCTCCGCTGTGGCACCCCCCCCCGACGCCGGGGAGCGCGTCGACCCCCATCGCCCAGTCGTCGCCGATGGGGGGCCTGGCGGACCACCCCAGCAGCGTGCGGCTGCCTGGCCTTCCCATCGGGGGCCCGCCGGCTTCCCCTTCGAGTTGTTCGGGGGCCCCCAACAGGTGTGGTGACCACACCGTGCGGTGAGTCGGTGGGGATTCGGGGTCACCGCACGGTTTTGGGGCTCGAGTCCCTCTCCGAGGATGTCTCGGGCGATAGGGGCCTCCTGGGTCCCAAAAACCGTGCGGTGACGGACCGTGCGGTGAGGTTTTGCAGCATTTCGAGGTCACCAGACGGTCTGTCACCGCACCGTTTCCGGACTCGAGAGTTGTGGAGGGCGATCAATGGAGAGGAAGCATGTTGCCAGATAATCTCCAGATGTCCAGAACATGTGTTAAAATTGCTTCAAACATGCAAAAAACAGGTTGAAACATGCTCAGGACATGTTCCGACATTTCGAACACATGTTCAATTCGGTGATGTGACTGTGAGGGTGCCCATGGTCGTGGCATCCGCAACCTTTGAGCGCGAGTGTTCCCCCCCCCGCCATTCCTCGCGTCCCAGACGCGATTGCTCTGGGCCAGAGCGGCGACACCATCCTGGTGGCGCCCGGAGGCAGGTGCCGCTGGCCCCGTGGAGCTTGCCGCAAGCCGCGGGGCGCTCTCCGGCCGCTCGCCGAGGGCTCTCCCGGGGGGGCCCGGCCCGTCCCGGACGGCCGGGAGGCCCGAGGTATGATTTGGACGCCCGAGATGGGCACGGAAAGAATGGGCACGATGCCCAACAGCAGTTCCTGTTCATTCTGAACAGGATTCGCTGTCCACGCCGCCGCGGCCTGTGTCCATTCGAGACAGAAGGCCGCCTGCCCAACAGCGGCCGCTGTTGGTTTGGGACAACATTTGTTGTTGGGCATTGTACCCATTCTTTCGGTACCCATCTCGGGTGTCCAAATATGACCCGAAGGCCACTGCTCCAAATCCCGTGTTCATCGACCCCCCCCCAAAAAAACGGACAACCTCCGAATGCGGCCCAATATTCCGGGCCCCCCTCTTCGGCGGGGCGCCTGAATGAGCCGGACCCCCTCAGCTCCAATCCAACGATAACGCCCAAAGAAAGCGCCCCCCCCAGTTACTACAAAGGCGCCTTCAAAAGCGGGACCCGG